CAGCATCTTATTTAGTTTGTAACATGTCACATAAAAGCATATGGGTATACCTAAATTGCCAATGCTGTCTTCAATCATATGCAGCTCCAATAAAGTATCTGAAAAGGTCATATTTAAATATCATTATTTCCATAACTTTAGACAGATGACATTGAGGTCAATATAACCAGAAACAGCTAAAATATCATCTTGGCCTTGACCCTGGGCTTCATCATCTTGATTTCAAATATTCTTTTACAAAAGTTACATTAAATAATCAATTAGATATTTTATTTTATACTAGTGATTATTTAGCTATTATTCTTCTTAAATAATTTTATAATTCTTTTTTTAACATTTTATGTTTAAGAACCAATATTACAGGTTGATGGTTTATCTACTTGTCTTTCTAGCAAAATGCCCAGATAGCTTGAACATTTGGATATTTTTGCATGACATTGGTGTCACTCAGAGTATTATCAAGAGGATTTTACTACTTAATTATTCACACTCAGGACATATTGAAACAAATACTGGCTTACAGTTTTGCTGTTCACTTTTTGCACATGTGTGCACATGCTTATACCTCAAAGTACCATAACTCATTTTCAGATATTACAAGCACCAACGAAACCTGGGTAGTGACAATTTGGTACTCTTTTCACACCTCCTGGCACTTTTCCTCTTGAATGCCATCATTTCAGTCAGTTCAGTTTTCAGAACCATCCCTTAGTCATCTTAGAAATCACTCTGCCATCTTTCCATATAGGATATAAGTTGATTTTTTTAAAAAAGAAAAGAAATACATTCCTCTCTAATGGTCTGCTTTAAGCAGGCCTCATGTTACATATGTCTGTTCAGATAAATACAGGGGACAAAATGTTTGTGAACATTTATCTACTGTATCTTCCACATTGGAGAGAGAGAGAAACAGACAGACATACAGAGAGGGGCAGTGAGTAAGAGAAAGTAACAGAGTAAAACCTGTTTTACAGAATGAGTGAACTTTAGATGCACCAAATTTGGGTCATGATTTCACCCCTAAGAGGTGAAGTTTGTGATTTTCAAAGTAGTCCAGAGACAAGTATATTTTATGCAAACATCAGTGTTACTTCTTCTGTTGTCATCCTAGCAATCTAAGACTTGGGTGTTTGTAGTTATAGCGCCTACAGTAATTTAATGACAGCTTCAAAAACTTGAAAGATGAACAACAACAAAAAATAAAAATGAAAAAATGAAAAAAAGTAAATTTGACCATAAAACAAAAAATAGACTTACTCAAGCCTTTGAGACTCCTGCTAGAATGGAGTGGTATATAATATTAGACTCAGAAGAATTAATTGTATACATCTGTCAAGTTTATGCCATAAAGAAAGAAGCCATGTCAGATATTTGTAAAGCAAAAAGGCAGCTGAAGAAATATATTATTGTACTCTGATGTAAAAGTTAGTACAGACCACTTGGAGAAATAATAATAAAAAATGGTGCAGGAACATCACCTGAAACTGTGATGAGCACTTACAGTATGGGAAGTAATCATACAGAAGCAGCGCATTAGGAAGACTTAAATCAAATTGGACACTGATAACTTAAGTGAAGTTTTTTCTTCATGTTCAGCATATAAAATTAAGTGTCTTCTTGTATAAAGGTTTTTTTTGTGGTTAAAAATATTCAACTTTTATATTTAGTGGACAAACAACCTTTCCTTCTAAATGGTGCATTAGATTGAAATTTATTGCATATGTACATTTGTGTAGGGCATTCCTACACAAATGTATATATGCAATAAATACATTTGTAACGGGGTGAACTCCCATTACTTGTCCCAGCTTCTGCCAACCTAGCAGTTCAAAAGCACGTAAAAAATGCAAGTAGAAAAATGGGGATCACCTTTGGTGGGAAGGAAACAGCATTCTGTGTGCTTTTGGTGTTTAGTCATGCTGGCCACATGACCATGGAGACATCTTCAGACAGCGCTGGCTCTTCGGCATAGAAACGGAGATGAGCACTGCTCCTAGAGTTGGGAATGACTAGCACATATGTGCGAGGAGAACCTTTACCTTTACCTTTTAGGACATTCCTGGTTAACATATATACTGAACTGTACATGCACAGCATCTAAGTGATAACCTATGTAACATTTGTGGCTTCTTTTAGGAAGGACTAATACAGGTTTAATAACAGAGGTCAGAATCTAAAAGAAGATGGAATCGTAAAAGAATAATAATTAGTTTGGATATAATCTATTTGTCTAACATTAAAAAATCTATTCAGTCATTTTATGAGGCTGAAACAAAGTTTCTCAAAGTTCATTTCTGTGTTATCTGGGGACTTTTTATGGAGACATTTGGGGTTCTTTTTCTTTTTTAGTCCAAACTGAGTTCTTTGTTCATGAATATCATCTTCATGGGACTGCCTTTAAAGACCATTTGGAAACTGCATACAGGTGCTATATGCCAAGAATCCATTGCATTTGGATGCCAATCAATTTCTGATTACAATTTAAAATGTGAATTTATACATAGTCCTGTATAGTGTGATGCCAAAGCACCTTCAGGATTGCTTCCCTCAACTACAATCTATCCTTCTGATATAAACAACTCAGGAAAACTGTCAACAGTTTACTGAATTGAAACCAAGAGATGTTTCTCCATTATGGCCTCTTTTTTCAGGAAGGAGGATTTCTTTCCCAAGGAGGAAAGAGGCAAAGAAGCTTGGACTCTTTAGCATGCAGGAAAAGTGTGAAGGTGCCCCCCCCAGCTCTTTGCGGGGTATATCTAATAGTTATGCCCATTCACTAAAGGGGCAAAGAAGCAAATACAAAGAGGATGGCCCTAATGTGACACATACCTTAATGGAAGAGGAAAACAAACCAAAGATTAACCTTAAGACATGTGCTCAAATCAACCAAATAATCAATCTGGATTTTGAAGGACCTTTAGAGTATTGAGGCTTTGATCAGTGTATCTGATATGACATTTACCTCGATTTCTCAGCGAATAGTAAAAGGTCATAAGGAGCACAAATAAGCTGCTGAACACAAAATATTTAGAATAATCCATTTCTTTGGACTAGGACACCCAAGCCTTTTAGTCTGCCTTCAAATCTCCAGACCTGATAGAGCTTCAAAGAAAGCATAGTGTTGCTGAAAAGCAACAGGTGTCTTTTGCTTCCTTACTTTCCGAATCTTTCATTTAGAACTGACACTATTAGATCTTCACCATGAAACATCAATGAGCAAATACATGCTATCTATTTTAAAAGCAAACTTTATAGTGTATACAAGGTGCACTAATATTTTCTCCCTGAGCACCACTTTCATTAGAACTTTTTATGAGAATGAACTCTATCTTGATGAGAAAAAATGAGATTGAAAGAAATTCCAACAGAAATTCACAAATTAGGACAGACTTGCAAGATGCTGGTTTCTGATCCTAGCATAGGTGAACATCCAGACAACTTATTCCCTTAAAATCCTTCCTCTTGCACTAGTTAGGATCAAACTACTCAGTGGTGGGTTTCAAATTTTTTTACTACCAGTTCTGTGGGTGTGGCTTGGTGGACGTGGAATGGCTTGGTGGGCGTGGCTTGGTGAGTGTGGCAGGGGAAGGATACTGTAAAATCTCCATTCCCACCCCACTCCAGGGGAAGGATACTGTAAAATCCACATTTCCTCCTGATCAGCTGGGACTCAGGAGGCAGAGAATAGATGGGGGCAGGGGCAGTCAGAGGTGGTATTTACCAGTTCTCCAAACTACTCAAAATTTCCGCTACCGCTTCTCCAGAACTGGTCAGAACCTTCTGAAACCCACCTCTGAAACTACTATAAGACTTGAAGGAATCTTACAAGTCTTATGGGGATATGGCCATAAATAGTTTGGTTTACCTTAGGTTCAGGAGAGTTCCCACGCGCAAGTTTTTACCACAGCCCTCATATGATATTTGTTGTGATACTCCTTAAAAATCCCAAGTGGAATTGAAAACATTCAAAATTATATATATATATATGTGTGTGTGTGTGTGTGTGTGTGTAGTTAATATTTTGGGTTTCTTCCCGTGTATATTGCATTTTTGAAGGTGTCCAAAAAGTAACAGTATCTTAAATTGGTAAATGGCATTTTAGCAATGTATAAAGAGAGGATGAAGGAAATACTTTAAAATATGTTTTTTTATAAAATAATGTCACCAGGTTACTACATAGAAAATGTATATACACATTTTCAATTATTTAGTTTGATGGCAAAAGTCTCCTTCATTGAATCCTGTAATAAACAAATTAAGAGATTATATAATTTTAGAAAGCATAGAAGAGATGATTCTGCTGTAATACAGTTACAAAATTGGAGTGTAACTGCAGTCAGGAAGTTCCAGAAAGAACTTACACTTTGTATATATCCTATAATTATATATATTATATATATAATGTATATATCCTATAATAATTAATGTTGAAGGATGCTGATTTTTTTACTCTAATTTTAGCTTCTGTGTCTTGAACCCAAGTAGCTTGTCATATTTCTCTCTCCAAAATTATTTGCATTCACCTGAAGTAAACACCTAGAATTATCTAGCCACTTCCATATACATATTATCCAATTATAATAGGAAAAAAGATTATTATTGTTCAAATAAAAAAGATGCATAAATTAAATTGTATTCTGTGCTTCCAAAAGCAGAAGAGGTAACCTGGTTCACTATTTATTTCATAATTCATGGACAACAATTTTTCAATTCTTTTCCCCATATTTTTTTTAAGAAACACAATTTAAAGAATATTCCAATAACTGGCCATATTTAAATTCAGTTGTATTTTTATTAGATTGCTCAGTGATACTCAGAAATTGTTCTGACCTTACCTATGATTATTTCTTTAATTTGCATTTCTTTTTTACTTTCTAGCTATGTATCTTTACTGTTGCAATTAAGATCACACCTACTAAATAGAAAAAAAACTAGCTGCTCTATCATACTTTGTTTAGCTTTAGGCATATATACATTTTTTTTCTTTGTTTCTGTTACAGGTACAATTGCTGAAATGGACTGTGGCATATAAAGACATATAAAAATAACAACACCCCTTCATTATATTTATGTTGCATTCAATTTTGGAACTACCACAATCATACCAGTAATATCAGAAACATCAGCAAGAAATTCACAAGATGGGTCATCTACCAATAAATTACTTCTAAATGATTCAAGCTCTGAACTTGTCATTTTTGCTGGGCATGAATATGATGTGCTTCATTACTTGTTCACTCCCACTGCCTACATTTTTTTTAGATGGTTACACAGGATAGGTTTCGTTAATCATAAGCAACAAGATTTATAGAACTCCCTATCAAGTTCAAGGGCATCATAGAAGTTTTTAAGAAGAGATGGAGGATTTTAAGAAGAGAGTAGACAACCTTTTGTCTGTTACAGGGTTTCCTGCTTGAGCAGGGGGTTGGACTAGAAGACCTCCAAAGTCCCTTTCAACTCTGTTATTCTGTTATTTCTGTTATTTTCTCCTTTCTCAGAATGCAGGTTAGTTCTATATTTGTTATAGAAATATACAAAATCTAAAGACTTCTTGTAATCCTGTAAAACTTTTTTGCTATTACTTAAACAGGTCTCCCTGCTTTATCCTAAACTACGATAAATTGCCTTCTGTTTCTAAATTGAACTAACACATTTTAGCAGGGGAGTTAGCAGTTAATATGTATTTCAGGCTATCCCGATCTTTTAGGATCATTGTGCATATATGGAATTATAAAAGCATGTTGCAGACATTTTCATGAAATAACTGCCAAAGCAGTGGTGAAATCCTACCGGTTTGCACCGGTTCAGGCGAACCTGTAGTGAAAAAAGCTACTGGTTTGGCGAACCAGTAGTAAAAAAAAGCTACCGATTGGTCTGAACCAGTATTTCCGATGATCAGCTGTGCCAGGTGGTTTAAAATAGCTAGAAAGCAGGAAATCCTGCTTTCTAGTGAATCTAAATCATGCGGCACAGCTGTTCCCCCCCTTGCTGTTCTACTTACTTTCCCAAGATTTTTTTTTTCTGTGTGCAGCGCACATCTGGCGCGTACAGCACATGCATGCACATGCAGAATACATTTGGTGCACAGTGCGCATGCACGCACAGAATCCATTTGGCATGCACCGTGCATGCACGGGCAGCAAACTGGTGGCAAATTGGGAAGGATTTCACCACTGTGTCAAAGGGTGGGGGTGGGTGGGTGGGGAAACAGCCTCTTAAAAATGGCTACTGAACATCTATTGAGGTTTCAGGTGTATATTCCACCTTAGTAATCATCACTTCTGGAATCTATCTGGTCAATAATCTAGGGGAAAAAAGAACCTTAGTCAAAAACTTTTCCTAAAATTATTTTTATTCATCAAAGTCCAGCAGCTTTTGTGAACTGCATTAGTGCATGAATCTGCTTGGTTCTGCATTTTCAAGAGGACACTTGAATGGCACTTTGATGCTTGAATCATTACAATTCCATGTAATTAAGAATGTGTATGGTTACATAAAAGACTAATAAACTGTTCATTTTTAAGACAGAAATCTCCCTTTAATTCCTGGCAAAATAACAACAACAACAAAAAAAAAACCTAGCATGGGAAATAATGCTACCTAGTGTTCCTTCGCTCTATGTGGACTTCAGGAGGGCAGGCCAGTTCTGAAATAAGAAATACGCAGTTCTAGGATTAGTCATTAGTAGGCCTTATTTGCTTCCACATTGTTGTTTCCTTAACATAAAACCCCTAAATTAGAAAATGTAAGATATGATACAAATTGTATTTCTTTTGTGATTCCAAGATATATCCTCCCCATTAAGTCTAGCAATGAAAACAGCTATCATGTTAAAACCTATAAATTATATTTTATTATCCACCAAACCATTTCACTTTAGGATACAGCCTTTGTGTATGAAGAATGCTCCTTAAATAGAGTTCAATATTTTTCACGTAATACTTAAACTGAATTGGACTCAGGAATGTCCTTATGTTAAGTATACCTAAAATCTCATAAATTACTGGCCCTTAATTATTCTGTCTGTGCCTTTATATTGGAGCTGTATAGAGTGGTGGGTTCCTCCCGGTTCGGTCCGGTTCGGCCGAGCTGGTAGCAGTAACGATATGACGTCACCGAACCGGTTCTCCCCCCCGCCGTCCCACCCCCCGCCCACATTATTCTTACCTTTTATTTGGTCCCACCCCCAATCTATTGCTGCCTCCTGAGTCCCAGCTGATGATTAGAGGGAAAAAAAAAACTGTTTAAACTCTTGCCGCAGGGCTTCAAAGGGCCGTCCTACAGCTGATCAGTGTTAAAAGCAAACAAATGAGTTGGGTCGTAAGTGTGAGGACTGGTCGTAAGTGTGAGGACCTTCCAGAAATGACTCTGACCAGCTAGCCACGCCCACCTAGTCACATGACATCCAAGCCACACCCACAAAATAAGCCACACCCACAGAACCGGTAGTAAAAAAAATTAGAACCCACCCCTGAGCTGTATATTAGATAAGCAGAACATGGTCTGCTGGGGAATATGTCTAAATCTTAGCTGAGAAAGTATAGTCAGAAATAGCATAGCAAAAGAGCAGAAATAACCCTCCCTATTTTTTATGTGTAATTTGATGTATGAGATACTGCATTTTAAGAATACAAGAAAGTTTCAAGGCTCCCATGTGATTTTGCTGTTATTTCCTCCGTTATTCTATCATCCTTTAGATTGTGATGTGCAGTTTATGCAATTTCTTTTCCCATTTATTGCAGTTTACTATAAAATAAAATATCATAGCTATAACTAATAAATCAGAAAAAACATTATTTTGGATGTCACAGAAAATGTGTTCCAATGTTAGTCTTAAGAGTCTGCAAATCCCTATCCTTCAGTTTAGATGGAAGAACCAACTCTTCAAAAGCTATGCTTGCTAAAAATGAACTACGTTAAATAAATTTTAGCTTAAATTGCAATTGTTAAAGCATGTTTGGTGGCTAAAATCAAACACAATTTGTTTATTTAGGGCAATCATTCAGTGGATTTCTCTTCTTTTTATTCATTTTGATGTTTTGATATTTTTTTATTCCACCTTCCCAGTGAGTTTACTGGTTTTTATTTAGGGAAATTTTTAAACATATTTCTGATTGTTAGTTGTTCAAAGCTTTCAGTGAAGAATGCCATGTAAATATAATAAACAAACAATTATTCAACATCTCAACTCTTGATCTATAAGTAGCAGGACTTCATCTATCAGAATAGCTGCTGGAAAATCAACTCAGCCAAGACTGGAAGCTCCCCAAAATTCCTCAGTGGTTTTGCTAATTTTTTCATTTTCCATAGGGTTGAAAAAGAGATAAATGGATCAGCTCTTCTGGAAAGTAGAATAAGGAAAAAAATTGACATCAAGTTCAAATGAAGTAACAACATCCTGTTGTGGTTCAAGATATTACCAAGAAAGAAAGAAAAAGAGAGAGAGGGAGAGAGAGGGAGGGAGGGAGGGAGGGAGGGAGGGGAAAGAAAGAAAGAAAGAAAGAAAGAAAGAAAGAAAGAAAGAAAGAAAGAAAGAAAAAGAAAGAAAGAAAGAAAGAAAGAAAGAAACCTTTCTTGCCACAGTTGTTAAGTGAATCACTGTAGTTGTTCAGTTAGTAACATGGTTGTTAAGTGAATCCAGCTTCCCCATTGACTTTGCTGGTCAAAAGGTCTCAAAAGTTGATCACATGAGCCCTGCAATGATCATAAATATGAGTCAGTTGCCAAGCATCTGAATTTTGATCAAGTGGCCATTGGGGATGCTGAAACGGTCGTATACAAAATTGTCAGTAGCCATTTTTTTCAGTGACTAATGTCATTAAACAATGTTTAATGAGGACTACCTGTATAAGTATTTTGGAATCATTCTATACTTTGGAAAAAAAACCCTGTAGTAATGATGATTTAACCCTTATCCTAAATGTTACTAATGGCAACATTAACAAGTGCACTAAACTCAATTCCTATCTACAAATTAAAAAAAGAGTACTTAATAAAATTTTATATGAATGTATGATGCTAAATTTTGCCAGCTTTTTTGCATATGCTGATTTTGAAGTAAAAATAAATACATGAAGTTATGTATACACCAAAGAAACTCCATCTTATTAATTTTGTAAAAATAAACAAAAGTAAGCAAGCATTATTTGATCAGAAACCAACTGGAGATGTACAAACAACTTATTCTCCATGAAATCTAACACTTTTTATGTTACCATTTCTCTCTCTCTCTGTCTCTCACTCTGTCTCTATGCGTATGTGTGCAATTTAATTATATTTACAGAAGAGTTTGTGGTGTTTTTTTTCCCTTTTACTTGTCTTTCTGAGAAACAATGATCCAGTGGGGATTTTATTGATTTTGCTAACTATGTCACAGTCCATTTAAAACAAAATGACATATGGTTTTGACAGGGGAAAATGATTAATTGCTATAGAAAGAGAACAGATAGACTTGAATGATGGTGACAAAACAACAACAAAAATCCTCTTAGGAGATAGGAAGAAAACAAATATAAAATATGGTGCTGTAAATGGAAGTGATTTCTGCTTTTTATGACAGTTGTAGAAGGAAGCAATTCTTTAGTCTTCTTTGTGTACAAATGGATTCTCATGAGAACATTTCTCCCCAGAGAAGGAATAGATAACATCAGGATGCACTATTTTATGATACATGAAAGTGCTAGTCAAATCTGCTTTTAGGTAAAGTTTTCATTACCAGATCCTACCTGCTGATACTTTGTACCTTGCACCTTGTATGTATTACTTATGGGTAGTTTTGCACAGTGGGAATTGTACAGCTGTAGCAATGTAGGAGAAACAGTGGAAATAAAAAGGTAAAGGTTCCCCTCCCACATATGTGCTAGTTGTTCCTGACTCTAGGGGGCGGTGCTCATCTCTGTTTCAAAGTCAAAGAGCCAGCGCTGTCCGACGACGTCTCTGTGGTCATGTGGCCGGCATGACTAAATGCCAAAGGCGCACGGAACGCTGTTACCTTCCCACCAAAGGTGGACTCTATTTTTCTACTTGCATTTTTTATGCCCTTTCAAACTGCTAGGTTGGCAGAAGCTAGGACAAGTAACGGGAGCTCACCCCATTATGAGGCACTAGGGATTTGAACCATTGAACTGCTGACCTGTCAATCGACAAGCTCAGCGTCTTAGCCACTGAGCCACCATATGCATAAAAAGGGATTGTTTTTTTTCCTGGACAATAACTGAATCTACTGGCCAATGAGGATATAATAAAAGTGTCCTTCCCTATTCTCCTCTGCAGCATTAATTTAAAATTCTTATAACAGCAAAGAAATAGTTGCACCTGAGAAGTCTGACAGTCTCTTTTCATGCGTAACTTTTGTAAAGTTAAAAAAGCATTACCGTTACCATACTACAAAGCATCCCATACATAACTAGGGAACCTAAACAAAAAATGTCTCTACAAAAATAAGTTTTCTAGATCCATCAAACTACCATCTAGAAAATGTTCACAGTTGAAATTTTCTCCCTGCCTCCCCTCCCTTTTGGTATTTCCAGAATCACCTTAGTTTTTTCCAAGTACTCATTACCATACCTCAGCTTAAAATAAAAAAAAGCATGAAAAACAGTACATTTGCTGGAAATTCTCACTGGATCCAAATACCAGGAGGGTCTCTCTATCAACTCCTCTTTTTATTAGTTTTAGTTTCAAGTTAGTTACTGCCATAGTTATGCTTGAGTTAAATATTTGAAACTGTTCTTTCAATAGGGGGGCATCTGTTGTTAAGAGGTCTCTTTAAAACCTCTTTTTAATTTAATCTTTAGCTATCTGTTTTGCTTTTTCTTCCTCCATTTTACTTTATTTCCCACTTTTTTTATTCTTCTTCTGCTGGAGACCTGTACGTTTACTTTTTTAAAACTGGAGATCAATATTTTTATAATTTCTGCTGCGGGGAAAAGGAAGAAGAGGTAAGGCTCACGTTCTGTTTCTTAGTCTTCACTCAAGCAAACTAAACAGCTCAAAATTAACAGATTCCTAAAATCTTGTGGTAAGTACTTACTTTTGGTAAGTAACCAAATGTTTCCTACTTTTCCGGGTAGCCTCTCAAAATAGAAATGGCTCCCTAGAATGGGATCTCCAATTGATAGAGTGCTCTCAACTTTTAGATCTTTCTGTCCTTTCAATATTTATTTTGAGGATCCGCTATGGTATTCTCTGGTTCAGTTTTAAAGAGATATCAAGACTTGTATACCCATTCATATTTACTCCTCAGTTATTGATGTCCAGTTATGGATAAAAAGAAGCTACATGAGCAAGAGTTAAAGGCAGTAGTGGGTTTCACAATTTTTTACTACTGATTCTGTGGGTGTGGCTTGGTGGGCATGGCTTGGGCATGGCAAGGGAAGGATACTGTAAAATCCCCATTTCCTCCCAATCAGCTGGGACTTGGGAAGCAGAGAATAGATGGGGGTGGGGCCAGTCAGAATTTTTACTACCGGTTCTCCAAACTACTCAAAATTTTCGCTACCAGTTCTCCAGAACTAGTCAGAACCTGCTGAAACCCACCTCTGGTTAAAGATAAATTAGATATTATCAATGTGTTTAACTAGCTATTCTAGGAGTCTCTTTCATGTGAGATGAGCAGCTATACAAATATGATAAAGAAATAAATGTTCATTTTCTCAAATCTGACATTATCCAGATGAGTTGGATTTTAAGTGCCATAATTATCAGCCCAGTTGACAACTGGAAATTACAGAAGTAATTTTAGAACATCAGGCTGGGTAACAATCCTTGAACTTGACCCTAAGTTTGGTGGAAACTTCCTGTTTCCACCAAATCACACTGTAACACAGATCTGCAATCTACTATGACAAATATACATGAGATGCAATCAACGTTTTTGGTCTGGTGCAGTTCTCAAAGGCTTGAATAAACAAGAGATTTAGCAAGAAGATTTAGTAAAAAAAAGCTATAATGTATAGTTGCCAGATTATCACTGGTTTAAGGTATTAGAAATTATAGAAACTGTCCTAATAAATACTAGTAAGATTTTTCTTTAGCTTTAAACTTAGGTAACCAGAAATTAAGGAGTCCTCTGCTTTGGGACATGACCGTGTTCTACTTATTTCCAAGGTAGATCGATACAATTGCATTCCTTTTATAATATAATAGGAAACATAAGGGATATTGATTTCATATATTGCAAGTTGTGTCAGGGGTTGTAGGAAACAATGCTGTCACATATAAAGTGCAAATCAAACACAAATATTTATGGAAGGTGGTCCTGTGGGAGGGGTGAAATGTAAAATTTGTTACTACTGGTTCTGTGGGCATGGCTTGGTGGTGGTGGGGTAATGTGACTGGGTGGGCGTGGCCAACTTTTTTTTTTTTTACTTTTCAAAGCATTTTTTCTAATGCTTTGAAAAGCCTCCGCCGATCAGGCAATTCAGCTGGGATCGTCAGAGAGGCTTTTTAAGACTTTCTCAGGCAACTCAGCTGGGATCATCAGAGACACTTTTAAAAAATGCCTCTCTGCTGATCAGGCAACTCAGCTGGGATCGTCAGAGAGGCTTTTTAAAAAATGCTTTGAAAAGCCTCACTGCTGATCAGGCAACACAAAGCATTTTTTTAACCACCTCTTTGGCAAAGAGGTTGCAGAAAAAAAAACACTTTGAAAAGCCTCTGACGATCCCAGCTGAGCCGCGCGATCATCAGAGGCTTTTTTTTTTTACTTTTAAAAGGATTTTTTCGTCGGAAGAGGTTGTAGAAAAAATGCTTTGAAAAGTAAAAAAAAAAGTCTCTGATGATCATGCAGCTCAGCTGGACATAGGGGAGGGGGTGCAGGGATTTTTACTACCAGTTCTCCGAACCACCCGCCACCATCGCTACCGGATCGGGTGATCTGGTCCAAACTGGGAGCATTTCACCCCTGTCCTGTGGTCCCCATGATTTATTATCAAGGAGCTGCTTAAATAGAACTAAATAAACCATGATTTGGGGACTTGGTTAAGATGAATTTTATTACTACCAGCTTGATCATAAAAGAATTATCATTCATTCCACTTTGATTCAGAAGGAACGATACTGCTTTATCTTCAGAACATCTTTAATAGATAGCTATAATTCACTACAGTACACCATTTAATTTAAAATGATCCAGTATCAATAGCTCTTCAGTTTTTCACTATTTTATGTCATATGTATATTCATAGAATTAATTATATTCAAAAAATGTCTTATAGATGAATAAGGGCTTAGAATAACCAAAAAAAAAAAAATCATCACAGATTCTGTTTGTATTTATTTTGTGGATGTTTTTGCTGCTTTAATATTTTTTTTAAATTGTTTTAACATTTTAGAATTGTAAGCTGTCCAGAGTCATTTGGTTGAATTGGACAGCTATAGAAATTAAATAAATAAATGCAAAAGAGTTTCTTCCTGTTGTTGAAACATACATTAAAAAGGTAAAGGTTCCCCTCGCACATATGTGCTAATCATTTCCGACTCTAGGGGGCGGTGCTCATTTCCGTTTCAAAGCCGAAGAGTCAGCGCTGTCTGAAGACATCTCCGTGGTCATGTGGTCGACATGATTAAATGCCAAAGGTGCATGGAATGCTGTTACCTTCCCACCAAAGGTGGTCCCTATTTTTCTACTTGCATTTTTACATGCTTTTGAACTGCTAGGTTGGCAGGAGCTGGGACAAGTAACAGGAGCTCACCCCAGTACACGGCACTAGGGATTCAAACCGCTGAACTGCTGACCTTTCGATTGACAAGCTCAGCATCTTAGCCACTGAGCCATCACATCCCTGAAACATACATAGGCAGGGACATTGTCATAGTTGGATGAATACTCTTCACTGCATGTATATATGCAAAGGCCACCATTATAATCCACTTTCCAAAACAGCAAATTTGAAATACATACTAACCAGATGAAGATCCATGCAGGTCGAATTGTGTTTGCATTCATTAATGATGCAATCATCAATGTCTTGGTCACATATTTGTCCAGCATACCCAGGGTTGCAAAAGCAGTAGAAGCCATCAATAACTGCAACAAATATTTTTAAAATGTTAGCTTTGTTTGTACAAAGGATCATAATAAAATACCTAAATATGCCAATAATAGTAATGAGAATCGTCTTAAAAATGCACATTCAATTTAAAATGCAGAAGAGAAAAGAGCCCAATTTGTAAGACGCTGTCTTCTGTAAGCCATAATTAAAATGAAAATGAGATTTGGAATCCACTGCCAGGATTCCTGATGAGTAGCATCTACATTAAGCATTCATTTATCTATTGATCTGATTTCAGCTGAAAAAAAGGATAAACCTATCCCTTTTTTTTCCCTATCCAGATTGCAGCCATTAGAAGGAGTAGCCATTTGGAGATGCTTGAGAAATTCAATCTCTGCGATCTGATTCACTGATTTGATTCATATCTTCCAGGCTAATGTACAGATCATGACTTTATCCTTCAGATTTCACACTTTCCAATTTTGCAATGCAGTACTCAGTTCAAAACATACAAAATACATGTCAAAGATGCATAAGTATAGATCTTTAGATAATGTTTGTAAGACAATGAGTTCAAAAACACATACCAAAAGTATCATTCTCCCATGAATTCGTTTAAGAAAAAAATGAATGTATAAAAGTGAGGGATTATGTTTGTGAAAGAACACATTCCTAGTCATAACTGTGCATTTATGCTATTCCAAATCCATCCCTTTCTTTCTCTCGTATAAATGAACAACTCTTAATTCTATTGAGAAGAATTGGCAATAATAGACAGGCATCTCCACCCTCAACAGAGACTACATGGAAGAGAGAGTACACAGATATTCTCTATCACCATAATAATCATGGGTGAGGAAATTTGCTTGCCAAGAAATAACTTTATATGAAGTAGCAATGACCACATAAACCTACGCTGGACTTGTGTTTTGTAGGTATTTACCTATGGATGCACGTCCATTATGTTTTTTTAAGTATAAATTATGCAGTTAGATACATGTTCTAAATATGTCTTGATACTTTTTTGTAGCTAAAAATCCAAATGTTATGGTCGGCGTTTTAGTATAGTTTTAGTATCAAATTCAGTTTAATATTGAAATGAGCAAAATTGAACTCCTCTGATCAACCTTGTATATGTAACTTTCTACATGATTTCCATCTATAGACAATGATTTAGGAAACATTATCCCTGCCTTTCCAAATCATAAGGAAATCAGTGAGTAGATGAAAAAGGAATAGGTTTGGATCAAAACAGCTGGATTGCATTTGTCATTTAAACATTATAGGTTCACATAAAGTTTGAAGATAGTGGGAGAGCTAGATAGATCATTACATGACTTTACATGATTTACACGTACATGATTACATCAGGGGTGGGTTCTAAAATATTTTACTACCGGTTCTGTGGGCATGTCTTATTTTGTGGGCGTGGCTTGATGGGCATGTGACAGTGGGTGTGGCTTGATGGGCATGTGACTGGGTAGGCGTGGTTAACTCAATGTCACTCACGTCAAGGGGAGTCATAGTTTTTTGACCACGCCCCTTGTTCCTTCCTCTTAGGCCCAGTTTCGACTCAGTTGGCCTGAGAGAAACATCTCTAGCAGATCTGGTTTTCAGCCATTGTCTGTTTGATTATCTCAGAATCACTGTGAGTTTTTTGATCAAACAATTCTTTAGGATTGAGCAGAGGTACTGGTCTACCAGGCTTTTAACTGCTTGCAGAGCTGTACTGGTCTACCCATTTGTTTTTGTTTTTGTTTTTTGTTTTTTTTAATTTTTTTTATTATTAAAATATAAACACAGATATAAAGACAATACAATACAAAGACAAACAAAAAACCCACCACCTACAAACCCACCTAACATTTTACATTTATGCTTTTGTCATCAACATAATATATGTCATTGAGCTTATATAGTTTAATAAGGAGTAATTATTAAATGTCTCATTCCAATGTTATAACTTTTCACTACAAATTTACATTTCTTATGGGTTCATCTCCTTGTGAAAGTCTTTACCCTAATTTCTGTCCTCTACATTTTTGCTGATTTTCCTTTCCAGCCATTGATACCATTGGTGCCATACAAGATAGTATTCGCCTTCTTCCTTTTCCTGGAGTTCCAGCGTCAATCTGTCCATTTCAGCACACTCTGTTATCTTTGCAACGATTTTGTCTTTGGATGGGAGTTGGTCTGATTTCCAGTTTTGCGCGAACAGTAGTCTTGCTGCTGTCAAGATATGTATGATGAGATATTTCGTTTCCTTAAGATGTTGTGCCGTTATCATGCCAAATAGAAAAAATTCTGGACTGTTTTCTATTTGAATGTTCGTTATTTCTTCGATAATATTTTTTATATCTTGCCAATAGTGTTGGGCTTTCCTACATTTCCACCAAGTGTGATAATATGTCCCCTTTTTTGATTTACATTTCCAACACAACGCCGAAGTGTTTGGGTGTATTTTGGCAAGTCGGGCTGGTGGTAAGTGCCATCTATAAAACATCTTAATGAGGTTCTCCTTGTAGGATGTGGCTCTTGTCATTTTTATGTTCTGCTTCCATAATGTCTCCCAGTCTGCCAATTGAATATTATGTCCTATGTCCCTGGCCCACATTGTCATATTATGTTTAACTGTTTCTTCTATTAATTTGTCTCTCAAAAGGTAGTTATATGTTTTAGTAATCATTTTCTGGTCTGCTCCCAATAAAATTCTGTCCAGTTCGTTCAGATCTTTTGCAATTCCATATTTGATTTTATCCGCATTGTATCTTGAGTGTATTTGAGTGTAGTGCCACCAATCAATATTTATATCGCCATTTTGGAGTTGATGTCTTGGAGTGAGTTCTCCTTCATGATTCAGTAAATCTTGGTATCTCATCATCTTTCCGATTTCAAGGGTATTTGGAAATATCAATGCCTCCATCGGGGACCACCATTTTGGTATTTTAGTATAATAAGTTTTCTTAATTCCCTGCCAAATCTTGAAGAGTGAGGCCCAAATTATGTGTCTTTGGAAGTACATGTGTTGTTTGTCTGGTCCATCCCATAGGAACGCGTGCCATCCTCGTATGAGATCAAAGCCTTCTAGATATAACATTCTTTTGTCATCTAATCTCATCCATTCTTTGATCCAGGTCAATCCGGCTGCTTTATAATATAGCTCCCAGTCTGGTACTGCAAGGCCTCCTCTGTCTCGTGTGTCTTGTAGCGCTTTAATCTTAATTCTGGCCTTCTTTCCCTGCCATATATAGGTCGTTGTAATTTTGTTGAGATTTTTGAAGAAGTCCCTTCCTGGATGTAATGGTACTACCTGGTATAGATATAGTACCCTCGGTAATATATTCATTTTAATTGAACTGATTCTGCCCATCAATGACAATTGTAGCCTGTTCCAGATTTCCAGGTCTTTTTTAATTTCTTTTAGTAATTTTGTGTAATTGTCTTCTTTGATTGTGGTTGCTTTCGCCGTCAACCAAATACCTAAATATTTTATCTTCTTTACTAATTGGATTCCTAATTCTTCTTCTAATTCTGATCTCTGAGTCTGGGTCATATTTTTTGTCGTTAGTTTTGTTTTTTGTTTGTTTATTTTGAGGCCCGCGACTTCCCCGTATTGTTCTATCATCGACATCAGTCTGGGTCCAGATCGTCTTGGGTTTTCCAAGTTGAAAATTACGTCGTCTGCAAAGGCGAGCAATTTGTACTCCTCTCCCCGGATCTTGAGTCCTTTGATTTCTTCCTCGTTCCTTATTTCGTTTAATAATACCTCCAATGCTATTATAAATATTAGCGGTGACATGGGACATCCTTGTCGTACTCCTTTCTGAATATCAAAAATTTGTGTCATGTCACCATTTATTGAGATTTTTGCTGTTTGTTGGGAATAAATTTTTTTAATCAGATTATGAAATTTCTCTCCACAGTTCATTAGTTCAAGTTGTTTTGTGAAAAAAGACCAATTCAAATTGTCGAAGGCCTTCTGGGCATCAAGGGAAATTATGGCCATTTCTCTGTCTATCTTCTGATCATAGTATTCCAGAATATTTATAATCATTCTCAAATTATTCTTTATTTGTCTTTTAGGTATGAAACCGTTTTGGTCTGGATGTATATAGTTATGTATTATTGCTTTGAGTCTCTGAGCTAGTATTGACATGAATAGCTTATAGTCCACGTTGAGTAATGAAATTGGTCTGTAATTTTTAATTTGCGTCGGATCTGAGTCTTCTTTGTGTATTAATGTAATAATAGTTTCTGTCCAAGATTTTGGAATTTCTGCTATCAGTAGTGCTTCGTTAAAAACTTGTAACAGTATTTGGTCTATCGATTGTTGACAAAGTTTATAGAATTCAGTAGGAATTCCATCCAGTCCTGGAGTCTTATTGTTCTTTTGTTTTTTGCGGGCTTCCATTAGTTCCAGCATTGTTATGGGCCGGTTTAACATCTCTCTGTGATCTTCTGTGAAGTGCATAAGGTTGGTTTTTTGGAGGTATTTTTTTATTTGGTCTTCCGGGACCTCTTCCTGACAATAAAGTTTTTGAAAAAATTTTTTGGCTATGTTTTTCTTCTCCAGATGTGTGTGGTAAAGAGTTCCTGATTCGTCTTGGAGTTGGTGTATAATTCTTTTTTCTGTTTGCTTTTTTAGCTTATATGCTAACCAGCGTCCAGTTTTGTTAGCATGTTCAAAATTATTTTGTTTTACCATTCTTATTTTCTGTGCCAATTCAGTTTTTGTGGTTAGATTCAGTTTATGTTTGGCCAAATTTAGCTTTTGTAGCACACTCGTGTTGTTGGGCTGTTGTTGTAATTTAAGTTCCTCTGTCTTAATTTCTTCCAATAATTCATTTCTGATTCTTTGTTTCTCCTTTTTCTTTCTTGCCATATATGCAATAGTTAGGCCTCTAATATAGGCTTTCGTGGTATCCCATAGGTTTTGTAATGATGTTGTGTCTTTTGTATTTATTTGTAGAAATATCTTGATTTCCTTTTCTATCATTTGCTGATATTCTTTTTCCTTTATTATACTTGTGTTCAT